TCAATAAATTGTGGATGTAACATGGACATGAACCAACCAGGGCTCTTTTACCATCCCGGAAAATGGATGTGGCCATGTAGTTCCAGGCAGGCTATAAAATGGATGTACGCGCCGCTAGTGTACAGCCTAGAAAAAGCATCTTACGAAAAACGGCAGCGTGGGGCCCCTCTCAGGTTTCTCTCTGGCGAAATACATTTATAGAACGTTTTTTTTTATTTGGGGAAAAAATGAAGATGGCTCTGGCAGCGCCATACAGCCATTTATAGAACGTTTTACCAACCTGTTTAATGCTGCCACCTGCATTTCATAATTGGAACTATAGATACGTGCATTTACCATTTTTTTACTGTCGATAAATTACTCTGCGATTTAGTGCATATCCATGTTACAGTTTTGTTCACAAAACTGTAAGCTAGAAAAAGTGCTCTTACATTTATATCGACTTATATTATCTCTTTTTAATTTCTGTTAGTTAGTCTCTGTTTTACAGATGTATTAATCTTAAGTTTTTTAAAAATTATGTTAATTATCTTTTCATTTCAAGTAACGCATCTATATTTAAATTTTTTTTAATTTGTAAAATAAATTATTGTAATCATACCTGTATAATGTATTTTGTATCATTAACAACATTACAACATTACCGTTAGAAGAATTATTAAAAATTTTAAATAAATTTCTTTTTTCTGAATACGTATAGAATACTAATAGTTTCTCTCTGTATATTAAACAATTAATATAAGCAGCGTTTCCTTTCCGCTAAAATATATTTAGTATAATATTATTGTTTCAAATTATAGAAAAATAGATGTGCAAACAATTGAAATATTCAGCTACAGAATTTGATTAAAATATCAATATTTTAGAAAAAATTTCTCGAATAAACTTGCTTATAGTATAATAATCAAAGTTTTTTTACTTTTAATCAATTTAATTACTTCGTACTGTGTAATCGTTGTTATTCATGTTTATTAGTCCAAATAGTTTCAACCTGCATGATCCATAGATTTAAACATCAAGAAATATTGTTAGCAAGATATATTTTTGTGTAGGATATACATCACCGTCAAGAATAATTTTACCGCTGCCATTTAAACAACTGACAAACCACCTACAAGTAAAAAAAAAAAGAATTATTTTAAAATTTCATAAAATTTGCTAAAATAATTTCAAACAACTGGAATTGCAAACGTTAATTCAAAAACAAACAAATGAGCGGTGTTTGTGCGCAAAACTTACTGATAGTATTTGTCCGTGATTATGCGTGTCAAAAATTTTTTTTTGTAAATTTTCGTTGTCTTGTTTTGTCAACCTATAATGCAAGCAAAAATAATGCGAAATGGATACATACGCACACCATTACAGAGATATATCATTGTATATTTAAATTACACAACACACAAATTACAGCGTCTCGTAAACATTATGGACAGACCGTAAGAAGTCGAGAGTAGGAGATACATACAAATTTGATTAGCGCGCTTTTAGAGACCGCGCTCGTCGGCTCTAACTGTTGCATATTTGCAAATGAGGTATATTTCGCATTTAAGAGTAAACGCAAGGTTGCCCTCGCGCTCGGCCCAGAAGGGCGGACAAGCTAGAGCAGGGAAATCGTCATTATCAAAGGGAAGACGAAAGGGGATGAAAAGGAGAAAACGACCAGAGAGGAAGCGCGGAATTCTATAGAAAGAGGAAAAACCGATACGAGTGGATGGCGAAATAAAAAAAAAAGTGTCTCGGGTGCGACACGAGGAAAGAGGACCGAACAACGACGAAGGAATCACTCTCCTCTGAAAGGATGCGGTGACGAAAGACGGATAGGCAGGCGGATAGATAGATATAAATAGACACATTACTTCGTTTTCCGTCTAACGTTCGATCACGTAACTACATAACGATCCGATCGATCGGTTATTACAACGATTTGTGCGCTGTATACAAAGCGGTGACTGCGGACCGAACTTTTTGGCCTCTTGCGCGCGCTCCTAAGGTGGGACATGCTCGCATCGGAACGTAACGGAACGTCCGAGATACGCGAAATCGCTTTTCGCCGACGTCTCTCTTTCTCTCTCTCTTTCTCTTTCTTGTGCGTCATTTCTGCGTGCCAGAAACAAATTTGAACTACTAGGAACCTAAAACTAACGATCCGAGTTTCTAGAAATAAGAGAGAGAGAGAGAAAAACGTTATAAAACAACTCTTAATAAAATAAAAAATACAATTTTTATTTATACAACTTCAACTATTTCGACTCGTCTCATGACATGTGAAGATTTCAACAAACTAATTTGGGCTTCTAATGAAAATATTGCCAAATAAGAAAGTTTTAACGAATGTACAGTTGAAAAAAGTGGCAAATTTTTTTTGGACAATAATTTTGTAGACTCGCAATAATTTAATAATGCAAAAATGATTAGTAGATTGTCAGTAAAACTTCAAAATTGTACTTTCCGCATGAATTCTCGTCCCTGGCTACCACTACAGGTTCGCCTCTTACATTTTTGCGCTAAGCGCGCGGTTTACACGAGAAGAAGTATCTGTGCCTTTCGCGCGAAGCGTGGTGAACGACGAGCGATGGATCAGATCGGATCGATCGGAGCACGCGTGAGAACGAATTATTCCCGGCCCATCGCTCCGCGTAATATACAGATAATATTACACTAGCTACATGGCTATCAAATGTGTATTTTCTGTTCTTTCGTTTTTTTTTACACGTATACACAAGCACATACATAGACTATCGCGTGTGTAGAATACGCATATAAATACATACTCGCATGTAGCACACCAACAGACACACACTCATACACACATGCACACACACACACACATCGACCATAAGACCTTATCTCTTCAAGACTCTACGCGAATTTGTACATAAGGCATCACGATATCGTGTCGTTTCTCACATGCGGATAACGTGATAACGACGAAGCGTGATACTCGCTCTTCTATCTATCTGTTTCTGCTATCGAGGAGGTTCGGTAAATATCGGGGCGAATTTTGCGTTAGCAACGACTATCGAAATGACGCGGGACGATGCGCGCGGCGCGAGACGCGCGGATTAAGCTTCTTCGGCTTAAACCCGACCGTGCAAACGATCGTTTACACGCCAAATAGGATATCTCGAGAGACGCAGTCAGCTTCGAGATAGCGATAATTTCGTGATAGCATAGCTTTAATGTGGCAAATCATTTCGCGACGAATTCGAGGGCATCGCGATGCGACGGGTCGTATTCGAGTCAAGTAGAAAGCAAATATTTCTCCTTTTCATTATCGAAGCGGCAGCTTTCGTAAAATATCTGGATAAGAATAGTGGAAGTAAAAGCAGTCGTCTTGGTAAATAAGAATTCTATGAAAACACACGTGTAAATAAAAGATAAAAAAAGTTTATACCTGTAAATGCAAATATTTCGATAAAAATGTAGAAATGCTTGCTGCAAGAATTAATCACATTAAAAAAGGATTTCCGCGAAAAGTTAAATAAAGTATTGTTTTTTTTTTCCTCACAAAACTTTGAAACATTAACTTACATAAACATTCTTTTAAAACTGAACACTTTGTGGGTTCAATTAAAAATTGCAAACATGTTGCGACATTCGTATTACTATAATCGAGTTTGAAATGGATATTTCAAGGAAAACATAAAAAATGATTAATGTGCATGCAACATACTCTTACGCTCTTACTTTCCGTTTAGCTTTGCTTCTCTTGATACGACCTGAAGGCTCGGATCCATCCGTCGGTGTGAGGCACGCTATGGTTACGGGGATCGTAATATCTCTCGCTCGGATTGTCCGCGAGTGAGTATGCAGCGCTATGACGAAATATTTCCTCGCGATCACCACCCACACCAAGGATGTGTTTCGTCATAATCGCTTAACCGAACAGTAGTGAGCGTAACCGAAGCGGTCGAGTCAAGACGCTCGCTTTGAGCTCACTTGATCGATGCTTCGCCGATATGTATTGCGAATCGGGCACACCGATGATCGGCCCGGAGCCAGCTTAGAGAGCACAGCGGAATATCGAGTGCGATACAGCGAATCGATTGCACAAAAAGCAAGTCGAGTGTAATTTCTGAAACAGCTGGCTAAGTTCAACAATAATTAAAGAATTTAATATTTTCAACAATGGTCTCCAAAATCGTATAATATCTGTAGTGTAATGCCATAAATATCGCTCCGAGATCAGAATAATACTCGAAAAATACCTTTTTTGCTTTTCACCTTCGCAATTTCTACACATTCCTGGACTTCCGATGTTCGCCAAGTGACAGATTCGAATCGAAAGTTTCGCGTCTCGCAGCCTGAATGGCGAAAATTACGCAGCGCGCGCGCACGTCCAAATACAGGTAGTCGAGAATGAACGGGAAGCAAGGAGAGCTCTTTCTCCTTCTTTCTCTCTATTTCTCACTCTCTCACTCTCCTCACTTGGTGTGCTGCTTCGGGAGGTGCCGCTTCATGTGCAGCGCGAGATGATCGCTCCTGGCGAAGGAGCGCTCGCAGACCGCGCATTTAAAGGGCTTAGCCCCGGTGTGCTTGCGGTAGTGCCGCGTCAATTCGTCGCTCCTGGCGAATCGCCACTCGCATTCCGGCCATTGACACTGATACGGCTTCTCGCCTGAAACAACCGAAGAGGAGAAACATGAGCGAAGACGTACACACCGACGTACACGTGCGAGCGCAATTGCGCTCTTATGAATGATGAGCAGCTAGTTAGACGTTAACGTGTAATTAATTTTCAAATTAGACATCAAATCCTTAAACTAAGGAATCGAAATGACTTGATGTCAATCTCGAGATTAGCTTTCGAGATATTTGACTTTTAAAGTTTCATTAAATCCTGTAACCCAGTTTCTAAAATTGTTCATCATTGATTCTTGACATTATATTATTTTTTTTCTTAAATATAATTTGTGTACAGAAAAATACAATTTGCGTAAGAAAATTTAGAAACTGGTTGAGATATAACGGGATTTTGTAAGGTCTAATAAATAAGGATTGTCCTCGCATGCCGGTTCGGGAATTTTTTTTCCTACCCCGAAAATCTGCGAAATCGACCGATATATTCGACCGACTCTCGCGAGCGTGAATTCCGTTCCGAGTTTCGAGACGGCGGCGACCTATTAGAGAACAAAGCGTTGCTCTTTGCGAGATGGGAGCCACGGGATGTAGTATACTTAGGCATATACCCCGGTCGCGCCTCTCAGCTGCGAGAGATGCAGCGCGGTGTGACCTTTAACTGTACCTGCATGCCGCAACACGCTCACCTGTATTCTAGCGCAATTGCGACCACCGGACCGCGAGCGAGCGAGCGAGCAAACGAGCGAACGGCCGGCCAAATGCAACTCACTCTAATGCGAACCAACATGCCCGCATTCCACTTAGCTTCGTCGATTATCGAAGAATGCACCTTCTTTATTGTTATTATAGATCCTGATAGTGCATTATCTTAACGAACGAGAGGTTAAGAGCTCCATGTCATTCAAGTATGATGCATTAAGCGCTCACAGCTGAAATGAAAGAAATTTTCTAAGCTTGTCCGTTTCACACGTAAAATGAGTCTTGAAAATTAGTCTGCGGATCAATCATATTGGCGGGCGAGACAAATAATTTTCAAATATTTCATGACATTTTGAAAAATCGATGCGATTCACCCGCAATTATCTTAACTTGTTCAGAAATAAGAATCGTATCGATTTTTTTAAAATATCATGAAATATTGAAAAACGGTTCGTTTCGTCTGCTGATTCGACTCACCTTTTTCACCGTAAATAGAAATTAAAAACTTTCTAATCGTAAGAAAATTGCGGAAGATTGATTGCTTTAATAATGTCTTCGAGATTACTCGTTAATATTTTGAGGCATATCAATCATGATAATTTTCACCTAAATTATTTGTAGGATTAACAAGCGCATAAAATCAACGAGTATGAATCGGTGTATGCATTTCGAGTCAAAGTGAATCGAATCTATGATTCATAAAATCGACTTTTATCTTTATCTTAATTGATTTTAATCTTTAAAATGCACAGTCTACACAAATTACTTCTGTTCAATTCAGTTTGACTTTAAATGTACACGTAACTATCCTCGCCTATCGAACTTTATCGCCTCTTGGAGCTATTCGCGAGCTCGATCGCGACGAAAGATCTCGCGGCAAGGAGCGAGCGCCGAGCGAGTAAAAGCGATCGCGAGGCGGAGGATCGACGGGATCGTCGCGAGGAGGGAGCCGGGAGGGCGAGCATACAGAGACGAGGAGAAGAAAGAACTCGATAGCTGAGAGATACACCCACGCATATCCTCCTAGCTCGTTCCTGTCCCTCTCGCGCGCTACACGGAGACGACCCTAACCGGTCCTCGCCGCCGCCGCCGCCGCCGCCGCCGTCGTCGCTTTACCGTCTTGCGCCGAGAGTTGCATTCAACGTTGCAGCATCGCGCCGCGCCGTGCCACGCCACGCGACGCACAGCCCAAGAAACGGTACTACCACCACGAGCACCATCCATTTACGGTATCGCCCGTTCACGTGAGAATTCTTCTCCCGCAGATCTGCAGCGAGAGTGAGCGACTCTTCGACGAAATTCCGCTCCGTCCGCCGAGATTTTGGCACACTTATTCTCATACTTAAGATGTAAACTCTACTAAATTCTTTCGCATAGCGCGAAGATACTTTGCAAATATTTTATACAATATTTTGAATAACAAATGGCGATCAATCAACTCAATCACGAGGACATCGTTAATTAAATCGAGGCTTAGTGATTTCCAAAAATTGTCTCGCGATACTTGATCGTCCCGACTTTCAGAATCTAAATTTAATCCTCAAAAGAAATGAGATTTGTAATAATTATTTTCATCGTAACAAAAAAGATCTCTGAATGTTATGAATAAAATAGACGAGCGATATATTTGAGATCTTGTAAAAAATATTCTTTTCAATTCTCTACTGGTGTTGTGAGAGTATACGTAAGAAGAGATATTGCGTTACACGATTCTGCGTGGCACGATGTCTCGCGAACCGATCAGCCGATCCGGTGACACCTACGAGGCCTCCAGGCGTCCCCGTTAATTTTGGATCACTTTCACCCGAGAACTGGCAGCGCTCCACTCCGCAGACAAGTTGCTTTCCAAATACGCTTCCTAGCCCTACTTTGCTCCAGATTTCTTCGGTCACCAAGCTCTCTCGAGAAGTTTGATTTTTAATTACTTCTCGATGATTAATGCTCGAGCTCCGATCATCGAGAAGATTCTAAAAATCAGAAGTCGGATATCGCGAAAACATTCCAGAAAATCACCGTCAGTTCGATTGATTTAATTAACGATGTCTTCGTGATCAACTTGATTATGCATTAATTGCAATTAATATTATCACATAATTAATTATACAAAATGTAAATGTTTATCCTTTTTGTATCGTCATTAATCACGTGTTTATTGGTATAAAATTCTACATTCCTCTTTGCCTACAAGTTTTCAACTGCCGTATTAATTATGGAAAGAGAGAGATTTTTATTGACGCATAATGTAATAATACTAGACGCTGATGAATTAATAATGAAATCGACACGCTGAAAACACCGCTCGTGGCACGGCGCATTCACAACGGCGAGGGTTCATTCACGAGTCGTCCGACCGACTCGCGCGCGCGTGAGGGCCACGTGCCCCCCTTCGGCTTCTCCTCTGAAACGCTCCTCGTCTCGGCGCGCCGCCAGCGCGCGCTCGTCTGTGTTTGAGATCGCGACAAATTGAAATATCTGCATAATCTCGCGATTCGATCGATTTTCCACGGATCGACCGGCCGAGTGTCGCAAGAAATCCGATCGGCAGATACGTACAAGTCGCGACAAAGTGGCGGACGGCGAATTAATTCAGCTATCGCTGGCGCGCGCGCCACGCGAGCGCAGAAGAAAGGACTTTTGTTCGAAGGTAGCATAAAGCCAAACACGAGTCAATCGCGCACAATGGCACGCGAACGAAATCAATCTGTATAATTGCAATTTCGAAAAAAAAAAATAAGATCGTATGATGAATAGAAGGTGACTTCAGCGCGAAGTGTCGTGCGTGCTTACTTCATGGTACTTGGAATGTTATCTTCAAATTCTTATAATTATAAATTTTTACTTGATCCATTCTCTCTGCAATCGGTGCGTGCCGCTCGTTTCGTTCGAGGCGATGACACGAGTTTATTGTAAAAACTAACCGAGGTATCAATTCGAAAGTGGTACATCGCACTTAAGATGCCTCCGGCTTGCATTCCGCGAGAGACTGCCGCGTAG